TTATTCACGATATATTGTAATAAAAAAAAAAATTGTATACTTGAAGAGATTGAAGTCGCAAGCTCTATTTGGCCTATACAATTAGAAATTTTCCTGGAAAACACTTGCCGATCCTTTCTTCCCAATAGAGTCAAGCAGTGCGAGAACTTCACGGGACAAGTGATGCTTCCGCGCGAAATGGAAGTGGCATACGTATCGTGTAAGGTGAAGGCGAAATCGAAGCCCAAAGCGAAGACGAAGAACACGAAGCTGTCAACTAATACGGTGTATGAGAACGTTCACGCAATCTTGAACCCGGAGAAGGTACGCGAACGCATAGATCACAATGGCAGCCAGCCCGGAAACTTTTCAAGAAAGTTGAGCGTGCTCGTCCTCGGCATCGACAGCGTCAGTCGGCTAAATTTCTACCGAGCTATGCCGAAAACCGAAAGGTATCTACGCGAGACTGGTTGGATCGGTCTAAAAGGCTACAATAAAATCGGCGATAACACGTTTCCGAATTTGATGGCGATTTTGACCGGTCAGACGCCACAACAAGCATATTATCGGTGCAAGCCGACAGTGGCTTATAAACTCGACAACTGCCCTTTCCTCTGGTATAACTTCCGCAATGCTGGTTACGTCACGGCCTATGGTGAGGATGAAACTGTCCTCAATACGTTTAACTACCTCAAGGTTGGCTTCGTCGAGCCGCCTACGGATTACTATTTGAGACCCTATATGCTGGCCAGTGAGAAACTTCTTAAAATCAAAAAAAGGTAATAATTTAACTATTATATTACCATGCAAAGCAATAATATGATTTTTTTGCCGACTGACGAAACTTTTTCGTTCGCGCCGTTTACAGATTCAACATGAAGTACTGTACAGGTCCCAAATTAAGCTTCGAACGAATCTTCGATTACGCGGTGAATTTTGCCCAAACCTTTGTCGGCGTGCCATATTTCGGATTCTTCTGGACAAACACGATCAGCCATGATAATATGAACGGTATTTCGTCGATGGACACTCGTGTGTTGCAGAAATTCGAGTTTTTAGAACAGGAGGGAATATTGAACGATTCGATGATAATCTTTCTGAGCGATCACGGTATGCGCTGGGGTGAATTTCGCAACACCTTCGTCGGCTGGTACGAGGAGAGATTACCATACATTTACATCTGGTTACCCGAATGGTTCCGCCGGAAGAATCCCGAGGCTCAACAAGCTCTTGCGGTGAATCAGAATCGACTCACCTCGCCGTTCGATCTCTACGAAACGCTACGCGATGTTCTTGCTATAGGAGGTGGTGATGCTAATTCCAGTCCGGGATGTTCTACTTGTCAGTCCCTTTTCATGCCTGTTCCTAAAGAGAGAGGCTGCCAGGACGCAGGTGTGGTTTATCATTGGTGCACTTGCACAGCTTTCAAGTCGATTAACATCAATGACAGAATCGCTAATGGTGGCGTGCAGAAATTTCTGGATCATATTGAGAGTATTGTAAAAAATTACAAGGACAAAAAGGGCCGGCGATTGTGCGCGCGGCTCACGCTAAAGAAGGTGCATAGAGTGGATCAGGTAATCGACTTCGGCGTGGAAGCCGATAACCTGTCCAGCATCACATATTTTTACATGATTCAGACAGCTCCCGGTAACGGTAATTTCGAGGTAACCATCAGGTATCACGGTGATGGCAATTATACTCTATCTGATAGCGAAGTCAGCAGAATCAATCCTTACGCCGTGAGCGCCAAATGTTTAAATCGCGGCATGAAGCAGTATTGTCATTGCGTAAAGTAGACATAAACTCACCAAAATTTTGATTTTATACGCGTTGTATCACAACTTTATACTTCATTGACATTCCGTTGTATCTAATCAACTAAATCGATTAACTTTTTTAAGCTATAACTGCCTTATAGGCGCAAAATATTTTTTAAATGTTATATAATAAATATTATTAAAAAATTAAAATAAGTTCTTATATTTTAAGAATATTGTAGATTTTTTAACATTGTGAGAGTATTCTATGGATGTTAAGTTGTTATATTCACTTATATAATATTTGATATATTTCCTTTGAGACCCTTATAATATATTATTAAAATATTTTTTAATATTAATTATTTTTGTAAATAAAAATTATTTTTAGTTTCTAAACATATACTTATATGTATAAACTAAAAACCGGTATGACAGTTTTATACAAATTATTATAAAAAAATGTTATATTTTTTAATGTTCATACTATATTACAGTAATATTGTATTAAATCATGTTACTTTCAATAATTATATAATATGATATTATCAGGAGTAGATATATAACCATCCATTAATATTGTATTTCACGAATGTTTATTAAATATTAAATAATTTTGTATTAAATTTATAAAAATTAAGGGCTACAAGCCATAAAGTTAATTTATTAAAATGAATTACATGTAACAATAATTAACAATTTTTTTAATGTTATTTATTATAATTTCATTAAATTATTATATGTAATTCTAATGAATAATTCTTAAAATGTTACATTTAATTTTCCGGGAATACATGTCTAAAGTATTTGAGGTTAATATTATATACAATAATATACATTCTTTAATATTAAATAATATTATGCGCCTATAGGGTGGCTTTGAAAAAACATTATTTTTAAATTGAAAATATATGACGGTAAAGTATTCAGACATTATTTTAAATAACTTTCCTAAAACGTAAAATTTCGCGATGCGTTCATATCGCGATGATGTCGCAAAACTTTTCAAGTTTTACTTTTATGTTAAATATTGTACTTTTTTATTTAAACCGTACTTTTTCCGTAACGATCGATTGAATTTAATTACTTTATTAAATATATACTATTGCACGCAATCTTGAATCGAGTTTTGTGAAAATATGTGAGGTATGATTTGTTTGGTATATATATATCGAATACAAAAGTTTATTACCTCATCTCAAGAAACTAGAGACCTGAGTGGATATATATGTTTATTTACTAAGAATAGTTGAGACTAGAGTTCTCTAAGCTGTAATTTAACATTTAAATAAGTGATAAAATATAGTCAACATTAATGAGTTAAATTCATTGATCTTTCTAAATACGTAAAATTATTATTAACGAATAAAAATTAAATATAAGCTAAGTGCCAAAAATTATTAATTATGATATAAGAAACATATAATGTTGCATATATTTAAATTTATAAGAAAATATGGTGCTAGAGATATTTAAAGTATTATTAGTCAGAATATTAATTTAAAACAAATTCTAGGTTACTCGAGCTGCGCTGGAAATTAATAATGTCCGACTAAGATTTCATATTTCAAAATTTTAACATTGAAAATGATCATGTAAAAAAAAGTCGAGACGTTTGTATTTTATTAGTCAATTGTAATTATAAATAATAAAAGGAAGACGAATTAATAAAGAGCATATAATTTCAGAACATAAATTTAAATTAATTTATAATATTAATTTTTAAAAATCACACAACTAATAAGGAACATTTTGACTTAACTTAGTCTTCATCAGCCACAAAAAAAAAATTAAAAATTGAAAAAAGAATAAGAAATTATTCTAAGCGAGACCACATGCCAAGCTGGACAAAAATACATTTAGATTGAATTACGAGGTATAACATTCTTTAAGTCCAAATAAGATATAATAAATACTAATTTTTCGTTTGGAAGCGAGAAAAAAGTAAATTGATAAGATTATTTTTATCATAGAGTCATACTGGTAAGTTGGGTCCAACTGGTAAGTTAGTCCACTGGTAAGTTAATCGTTCGCATGTGCTAGAATTTTTTCGCTTGAGGCATCGTTTTTAGCATCCAAAAATCTATAAGACACACGTAGTCCTCTCCAAAGTAATTTTTTTGCTGTAAACTAGTGTAATTAATTAATTATCCTAATAAGATATAAATAAAATTATTAATTTACAAATCATATTTTTAAATATTTGCGTATGTCTTTAAGAATTTTCTGTGATCATTAAATTATTATTATTGTCGTATCATATAGAAGCATTTAATTCTCGCTCTCCTTTTCACTCTTCTTTCTTCTGACAATAAGATTTCAAAGAATTCAATCTGATATATAATTATGATTGTTGCTCTGAATAATTAATAATCATCCTTAAAAATTGATTTTATGCAGTATCCAAATATCAATATATTTGTACATAGAATTTTTCTATCTTTTTAAATGTTAATTAATTTTTTTATAAGTAATATTTTTTGTTATTTAATTTCATTAAATTGATATATATATAAATATATGTAAAGTCAAAATTTTTTTTAATCGCGTTATCGATCATGAGTGAATTAATTTCATAATAAATTATAATAATGTCATATGTGTGTTTTTAAACTTCTTTTTCTTTTGCTTTTTAATTAAACAATTAAATCTATAAACGGGAAAATCATTAATACTAACACCTTTTAAAGAATCACTTATTTCTTAGAAATTATTGCACTTTGTTAATACCGATAAAAATATAATCTATTTTAATTAAAGAAGTAAAAACTCATAATTTATATATTACTTGTAGCTAGTTTCCATATAAAATTAGTCAAAAATGAATTCTAACAAATGCGAAAATAAAATTTTTACGATTTTCTTCGTAACATCGTTTTTAACATTCAAAAATTATAAGAAATACCTAGTCCGGTTTAAAATAATTTTATTGTAAACTAATATTATTAAGGATTACATTATTTCCGATTTTTTAAAAAAGCCTTATTCAGTGAAAGTGGATCTTTGTATTTAATAATATTTCTGTAAAATTATACTACTCAAAAAAATTAGGGGATTACGTTTTCTCTGTAAATTTTTACTTATTTTTAAATTGTAATTACTCATAGCAAAATTCTTCTATTGTCTAACAAAAAAAAAAACTCGACGAACATAATCATTAATACCATCTCAAAAAATTGTGAACTTCAGCTTATTTATGCTAATATAAGCGCAAATGCTTGATTACTTTACCATTAATCAGCTTCGTCAAACGAGAACAAATTAATTTGATGGGACATCTTCGTTGGAGCGCCAAGTACGAGTGCGTATGTACCTTTCTCTTCTTGTTTGTTCCGACGATGCGATTAGATTGCGCGTTGGTCTATGCTTTGGTGTGCCGAATAATATCACGGTGACCGAATGTCGGTGTTCATGGTTGATGTTGAAGTTTTTGCGTGCTAAATACGAGTCGAGGATCTTGATGCCTTCATACAAACTATCTATATTGCAGCTAGAGTGTTGCCGATTACTATGTAATCGATGGTTTTGAGTGATACAAGATATGCTCTTTGGTGTGTCATTCGGTGTGTTTGCTATTGTTCTAGGACTGATACATTCGACGCTGCTAGTTGCTTCCGACACCATTTCAAAATTGTCTTGCAGCTTATCACAACAGTTGTTAATCGTTGAGATCGTATTAATGCAACTACCATAGGAGAACTTTTTGGAGGAACAATACAAAGTGTCGCAAGGCGACAAAGTGGCTGTTAAATTGGTGCTATGATAAAATGGTTTCGACAGTTTGGAACCTAAATGTTTGACAATAGCACTTTTTGAAACAAAAAAATCTTCCTCTTGATGCTCGTCGATTTTCCTTACGAGAGAAGACACGATTGCTATTTGATCGCGTTCTGACTCCGACATCTGACAATTTTCGTTTATCACAGAAGTTGATAGATTACCAACTAATAGATCTTGCAGGTTGGAACAGCTAATAGCACAGCCACACGCGCCCTCACAAGAGCAATTAGTATTCTTCCCATCCAAATTGTCAACCCTTCAATTAAATACAATTTAATATGAGTAGCAGTTAAAGAAGTAATATGATAAGTAGATACGCTATGTAGATTCTAGATTACTATATGTTATAAAAGCCTTGAAATTACTTATCAACGAGCTCTTCACAATCTTCTTCTGAAACATGTCCGTTATTCTCTTGCAGTACTGTAGTATCTTCTTCGACATCTTCACGCACGATTAGATCATTTGGGGGATCTTCTTGTTGATTCGTACCCGAAGCGATACAATCTGTCTGATATGTATCAAGAGTCTCAGTGTTCATGAATAAGGATGGATCACTAGGAGGTGGACGATCGCCAAAGGAGGTCTGAGGACATTGCACGCTGCATCGGAGTCGAATAGGACAAATTTGTTTCATTGACGTTGACAAATTAGCTATGCTTCTCAATATAGTTCCTGGTGGTGTGATATACGGAGGCGGTGGACTTTCTGGTATACACTGTGCACATCGACTGTTTTCCGAAGATATTGGAGTCGTTTGGTTGCTACGATCGTTGCTCGCGCTCTCCACGATCAAATAAGTAGAAGAATTAGCATCTTCGTACCTTTAATCGTAAAGTTTAAAATTGAAACTGTATAGTTTTGTAAAAATGTTTTTAGAATTTGTTTACACCATTTAGCAGAGCATGACTTTTTCGAATACAGAAAAGAACTTAAGATATTGAAAAGTACCAAACAGGAAAAAATTAAACTCGGATTAAAAAAAATTGAATTTTAATCTTATTTTGTTCAGAATTACTATACCCAAAATTGTATACTACTTTACCCAATAAAATGAAAGAAATGAGCATCTTACTGATTTGAAGAGCTTCTGTTGAAAATTCTGTCGCGTTTTAAGCATTGAGCTTTCTTCGACAAAGCAAGCTTTGCGACTTCTTCATAATCTGGCGGAGCCTCATAGCCAGGAGGATCATCCGGAATAGATATTTCATCAATTCGTGCACCGTCTGTAATATCAAAAACTGTCCGAAGTATCATAAGAGATGTTTTGCTCGCACTGTTTCATGGGAGCTAACTAACTTCCATTAGTAGTTTATAGTATGCTATAATTCACATGTTAAATTCGCGATATTATCTATTAATTTTGTATAAACATTCACAGATAGAAATGTATCAATCATATTTTTCTATCTCTAAAAAGTACAAGTAAATTTAAATATATGTTTTGAAGGTCAAAAATTGATAATAGAGGTCCCAGTTTCAATGATCTTAACTTAACGTAATGTTATGAATTAAAAACTTTTTAAGTTATCTCCTGGTAGGAATTATAAAAAAAGGCTCACTTTTTCAGCTCGCACACTATTAAGTTCGGTCTCTGTCTCTCTTACTTCGTGATTCCCTATTATCAACTTTTACCTCAAAAAACATTCTTGTTGTGCTTTGTTTGTGTTCGTGGTTGATCTAAAAAAAATGTATTATTTTTACATCATGCTTGATTCAAAACAAATAATTTTTATGAAAAAAGATTGATTAATTTTCTTAATTTAAATAAATGTACTAAAAGTGTTCTAAATGAATATTTTCCGCAAAGAAATTGCGAAGGCGTACCTAAAAGTTCGCTGATTGTTTCTAAACGAGACTGTAGTTCTCTTTGTTGTCTGGCTCTGGCTCCAATTCTGTATAGCAGTATAATGAGAGCCAATATTAGAATGATTAAGCCAAGGCTACTAGCAACGAATACCAAAGTGGCAGTTTTCAAATCTGGATATCGATCGATCTTCGGAAAATAATAATTCGCTTTGTTCATGTGCCACTTATGATCGCGCGGTTTCATCTCCCAATCTGTACGTGAAATTTCATTCGGAAATTAATTTATAAAAATAGTACATATACTTACTATCTAAGAATTCAAGGGCACGGAGCCAATTTTATAACGAATAAGTTTAAACATTTTGTAATAAAGAAGTTTAATCTAAAATATAAATACATAATGTACATGTTTAAACATGTACATTATGAAAAATATACATATCGTAAAAAAATGTTATTTAAATACATTACATTAAAAAGAAATGTTTATTGTAAACAATTATTATTTAAACATTTTGTACAAATTTAAATTATTGCTACAGTTATTATAGCATATTTGTTTTGTTTAAAAAAAAGTATATAGAATTGTTACATTGCATTAATTTCGATATAATTTTCTCTGCATTAGCTTTTACACAAACTCATTTTTAAATACAAAATCGATTGAAAACGAATAGATACATACTTTGAAAACACGTCGTTGGTTCATCGCTGTTGTCACCGCAATGATCAAAACCGTCACAATTCAGCTTGCTTGAAATACACCTGTGATTCTGACACAGAAAATCGGTGCCCGCAAAGCAATCTGCAACGTATTATCCAGAGGAGGGCAACTTTCAGCTTGGTTCCCGTCTCTTACTATCCCGCTTACAAGCTAAATGCCGATCAATATTTAGATTGCGCGGAATAGTATTATAAGACGAGGAATGGGAACCAAGTTCAAAATCGGCCGAAATGTGTAGATGCTTATAATCTGGCTACACAATCCAATAAAAAAAACAAACGAAATGTATATTAAGACGGAGATGCACGCTCGTAAGTGATTTTCGTATACAATATATAACGAGTATTCATACAATATTCTAATATTTGTACATTCTATGACGATTCTTTTTCTACTGTACCGAAATATTCAGCGCATTGGGAATACTAATTAAAATTCGCATAAATACACTACTCAACAAAATTAAAGCATCACCTGTGTTCCACCCAGTAAAAATAGACAAATTTCGAGATAGAATAACTTTGTTAAAAAAACATCGTATTGAGATTTTCAGAAAAGCATTTTAAAACTTGAAATCTCTATTTTTCAGATCGGTACTTCAAAGAATGATATTTCCTCAAATTACTGATATTTCATAAAGACATAAAGTTACACAAACTGCAGATGCAACAAATCTGAAAAATTCGTATAGAATTTTGAGATCTGATGCATCTTCATTTATGAAATATCAGTAAAACCGTTTTTAGTACTGCTTTGAAGTACCGGTCTGAAAAGTAGAGATTTCAAGCTTTAAAATAATGCTTTTTCAAAAATCTCGATACAATGAGATGTTTTATAGCGCATTTCAGTAGATATACAGTTTTAAGATTTTATTTAAATTATGCAAATATTTATATGTAATTTTTGGTGAGGCACCCTATGTTTTCAGCAGTAAAGAACTACCTTAAAACGTGCTTAATTCATTGGAATGAGGCCATCATCTTGCATCTCATTTATTTGTCATCGAGGACAGACTTACCCTCTATGTAACTGAAGGCTGCATACGCAATTGCCAAGTGAGAACTTGGATTGAATGTACCACGAAGACTCACATGGAATCCGTTGATGATCGGTGCTATGTGTTCCCTGTGTATTAGCGATCGTAATTGATTCGCTGGATGTCGAATAACTTCCAGTGACATCAGAGCCGAAGTTGGACCCTCCTTGATGATTAACTCCGTGTTGCCGGCTGAAAAATAATCGTGCTCGGGTACTTATGGGAAAACCGATTCTGCCTATTTTTTTTATAATCAGAATCATGCTTCACATTAATTTCATCTTTTCTATGAGGTTGCTCCATGGAAGAATAGACACTAATTGAAATTAATTGGCAGAAGAAGAAGAAATTTTTGTCGTTTTGTTAGATATTTGAATAAAATATTTAATTCGTCTTGCAACGTACCCATGCCAGCGAAACTCACTACCTTCAGATACATATGCGTCTTCATATGCAAGAAGTTCTTAGGTGGTCTGATTAGCCAAACGCAATCATAGATCTTCACTCCTCGACCGACCATGTTTATCATCGTAATAGCGCCGCCTAAATTTTCCACATATCCACCGCAGTCGGTGATCGGCTGTACAGATTTGTCATATGTATGTCCGATAATGAAGGAGTAAAAGGCCTTGTAACCAAGACCTGTACCGCCATTCGCATAGAATCTTATCAGTAATGATGAACCAGAGCTCACTATGATCGGAGGGCGAAATCGGGCTCCACTACTCACGTCTAAACGTTGTCCATTCCAATCATAAAACTGTTGACGGTAAACGAATCGAGAATATCGTTTAGTCATGAAATTATTCGACAGAGTAGAAAAAAATTTTTAATTAAAATATTCGAATAAATATTTTAATAGATTAAACTTTCTTTCGATTTACAAATAATATTAATTGTTTAATTATTTTTCTTATAAAATACGAAAGATTATTGTTTTAAGAAAAAAGAATTGAGCTAAAACTGCGGAACATATATTTGATATCAATTTGTTACACAAAAGTCTTTCTGATAGTTAATTAAAAGATAATTAGAAATGCACCTCCATTATGGAGACCGTCGCTAATTGAAAGTCGCTAAACAACAATCTGATACGACAGGAAGGGGCTTCATTGGGGCACGTTATGATATATTCCAAGCTCAAGTCACGAGGATATCGAGCCGGAAAAAATGGCGACATCAAAATACCCTCGCCAGTACTATTTAAATTCTTTGTCGATGCTCTTGATGTCATTTCTGTCCCTTTCAGATGCAATCTATTTCCTGGAACGAGAGTGTCGATTTCAGAATACTTTCCAACACGGCCAATATAATAAGAATGGGAAAGTATGGTATATATTAAATGCTAAAATGTATCTACTTTAAAAACGTGTCAAAATGCTTAAAAGTAAAAATACGTAATAATAAAAATAAGCTGACTATTGTGTATTGACATATCGTTAGTGTCATATATAGTATTACGGCAAGCTACTAACAACAAGAAATAATTCCATAAATAATAACTAGAAATTGCCACCTACTAATAGCGGAGATATTAAGGGGTGTCATTATAACTACACTAGACATAGCACCACCTTTTCTTCTGTTACAATGTTAATTACTAATTTCTTTACTAACTTTCTGCTGTACATTCGATGGTAAATGCGTGCTTGTGAGACTGGCTGTAAAGTAGAGTTATAGACAGAGTTCTTGTGCTCGATCTATACGTGATCGGTGCGTACAATCCACAGAAAGGTGAACCGGAAACCTCTTCGTAGGGTGGTTCCGAAAGCCATACGTAGTCACATCTAAAACGTATATACAGGGTGTCTCAGTAAACTCTGTTATAAGGCAATATCTCCGTTACCGTTAATGATACGCGAAAATGTCTAATGAAGAAATTGTTCGATTCGGAGGGGGACATATATGTTTTAGTCACCTTGTTTTTTTTTCTAGTTGGAGGCTCCAAAAAGATATGAATTTTATTTGATATTTCATTCGATAGCATGTTCAATAGTCACCATTCGATATCTACCTGCATGGGCTGTCCGTGAGGATTCCACCGTCACCACAGTGATGTGGAAGCGCAATATTCTTGAAAGTGAGAACTATCATGCAGGACGGACAAGTCACTAGTTCAAGACTGCAATGATGATGTGAACTGTTAATCATCGTAGAGAAAAGATGCGGCACCAATTGCCTTGATAAATTTCTGACGAAGGCGACGTTCTTTGCGTAGAGAATGCTTTTCTCGCCTAACTCCAGATACAGACGTCTGCCATTATAAGATCCACAGATGTCATTGTTCTGAATAATATTCCCAGTTGTAGTGAAGATCCACCAGAATATTGCAAAGATCACTGAATTCACGACAGTATTTTGTAAAGAAAAAAAAACGCGCAAAACACAATTTATTTATGAAAATTTATAGGAAATACAATTTTTGCGTACATGTGAAAAAAATATAAGATGTAAGAAAGGGATGAATTAAAAAAAAAAAACATACAATTTCCTTGCCATAAGAATTATTAGATATTCTAAAAGAGGACATTATTTTTTTTTATATATACGGAAATTTATTTTTCTTCAATGAGATAATATAAATTGAAAACTTTCCAAATGTGCGTTTCCCGCAAGTTGCAATAAACTAATAACGTCAATCAATGTATTGCTTACCATATTTGAAATGAGACATATTCGTAGCGCGAAAAACGACTACTACATTTTTCTGTCAGGAAACCCGACGTGAGTGTGTATAATTTCGTTAGCGCAGTGACGGTGTAATATATCTCGTTAATATCAAATAAAGCATTCCTATGGTATCTCTTGAGCACGTGCCCATCTGTCCCGCGAAGTTCAACAAGATCATATCGTAGTAAAATCAATATTAAAAAGCTATCTTACATAGAATATAATTATTTTCTCTTCAAAAGTTTTATAGCTTATAATATAAGTTATCATATTATTTTGCTTCTCGAAATTACGATAATTGAATTTTTAATCGTATAAGGTACTAAAGTAAGTAATAATAAGCGCAATTTTTTTATTATTGTCTTTTATAGAAAAATTATGTTATTTCGTTTATGATCTAATTATTGTAATTTTTTTGTGAATGATAATAAAATACAAATAACAATGGCAATTACAACGAGAAATATCTCTACTATAATAGAATACTATTTCTATCAAGTTATTTCAACAATCGTATATAAACTTACCTTTTTAAAAAAGGTAAAAAAAAGCGCTAAGAGTGCGTGTGTCTTTAATTATACTTTAATTGTATAGAGAAGGATTTTTAGATTTATTTAAATAAACAATTGTGTGTGAAAAAGGTAGGAGAATCCGAAAATTAATATCATATTTTATCGAATAAAACAAAACAATTCTAGCATTCTCTTATATTGATAATAATTTATACTCATTGGTTTTAATTTAATGGCATTTTATTTGACATTCTTAATAAAGTTTGGATTATTTAAAGTTTATTTTATTTTATTTACAATTAATTGCTATTTCTTATTTATTGATTAATGTATTTTACATTTATTAATGTATTGATTATTGTAACATATTGTATTTATAAATTAGCAAATTAATTATTTTTCTGAAAAATCTTTGTTGAACCTGCTTTCGTAACTTATCCTTAATATTTCTTCCCTTTAATCAATTAATATTATATGTTCGATAATCTTTAACACTTTCATTACACATTTGAGGCTTCCACGGGTATTTTTTTCAATTATACCAGAAGGTTTACGGGTTATACTTTAACACTTTCTTTGATCAGGAGTGATAGAAAAATTGTTAAAAATTATCATGACAATTTGGGTCTAAAAAATAATTATTATTAACCTTAAATTCAAATTTTCATGAATTCAATAAATTATTTCAATTCATAACTCACTTACTTCATATATTTCATGTTTAACGTCGAAGAACTTCCGTCATTAAGATTTTTATTGGAAATCTTTTGTGAGAATATTTCTTAATATTTTTTCTTGGGTATGTATGCTATCTGTCTACTTCTATGATGAGACCAAACGAATCTCATATAATGACCAACCGAAGCTAATAATAAAATACAGATTCCCACTGCCTTGATAAACATCCGTTTTCGTACATCAAATTCTTGCGAAGATGTCCAGCTTAAAAACTCAACTATGTCCTTTGCCATTTGCGATATCGTCGATGGAGTGCCATCATCATATTCCACCACTCCTGTACTTAGCATCTGTACATGATTTTATATTATAATACTTCGTAACGGTTATCAAATGCTAGAGCGCGCAATTAAAATTTTATTAGCATAAAAGATTAATCAGAGAAAGAAATATTAACTGTATTAATGCCCAAATAATTTCTCTTGATAAAGTTTAATTTAACACGATCAATTTCTCATCGGCATTTATCACAAATTTACAGAGGAAATAATTTAGTGAATATTTATTATATAAATTGTTCGATTATTAAGGAGTACCAAGGCTGGTTTATCGTAGTTTTTAAATGATTTAAAAAAAATTGTATTGATTAGTTATGTAAATTAGTTTGTTTCTCTGAAGAGGGCTAAAAAGTTAACCGAAACATGTAAGAACGTAACTTTTATAATAAAAGAGCATTATTTAAATAAATGGTTTTTGTCACTTATATTAGTGGTGTTTTTAATTGCGCGACATCTTCTGCGCCCTACTCCCTTTATTCTTTTCAATTTTTTGAATTATAAGGAATCTTAATTGATTTTATTATTATATACAGTTTAATATAATTTATTTATTTTCAATTTCGTGTCTAGAATGTTTTCTTTTCTAAATTACATAATTTTTTTTAGATTTTTATGTACATATAGTCCAGAACAATAGAAAACATCTGTTATGAAGCTCAAGATTGCAGATCGACAATTTCACATTGCCGATAAAAGGCCATTACCAGGAGTGATTCTCAGGATTCGTAACGAATGAAGGTAATGAACGCTTTGTTTTATTTAATTATAAACAGTAGTTTAAATTTTATTTAATTATTTACAGCTGACAATGAATATTAAATATCATGAGGAAGAGGTAATGCTTTTGATAAAATTCATAATTGATTTTTATCTCATAATCAAATTTACTGAGAAGCTATCGGTAAAAGAAGGCAAAAGAATAACTCTTTTTATTTATATAAAAATATATGGAATAATATCATTGAATAATACCATTACCTGCGCCATACTCATTACGTTTCCAGGGAAGTAGATATTAAAATATTGCTGGTCGCTTAAAAATATACCTGCTGGCGGTTCCCTCCAACCCGTCAACAAAGAAAATAAGTAATTTCTACCGTTTCTTCTAGCGCAAATGATGTAGGTCAGATCTGGTGGATACGCACCGAAATTGGCCGCCTTGGCCGCTTCCTCATTTGGGTAAGGAAGTGGCAATAAATCAGACAACCTTCCGGGTCTCATGTAGTAATTTCCCTCTTCGTCGGGTCCATCTTCAATCTGCATATCCGAATGCAATATATTATTCTATGAAATATGAATGCACATCCACACGTAGAATTTTATGGAACTGGCAAACGTTTCGACCAATGTTCTTGGTTATCATACCAAAAAAATTAATCAAAATATTTATTAGTTGTAATACCATCCATGTAATTTATTATTAATTGTAATAAAATTTAAGTCCATTTATCTACGTTGGCTCTTATTGATGTGTTTCAAAATATTCTTTATTAGGTTTATTCTATTGGCCACATATGTTCAAGTAAACTTGTTATAAATATTGCGCAAATCACTTGTACAAGAAACTTATTAATGTCACATGCGTGTGACAAAACTTAAAATACATGGAATGGTGGTTAATATATCATTCTCATTTTCGGTTGAATGGAGAACTTTCTCGATAAACCAATTTGTAATTGTATTATATGTGTGTTTAAGCGCGAACTTGAAGTCAATTACGGAAGCTGCAAAAAAAGAGGAGAGGAAATAAAAAGAAAATGCCTCAGGGATGAAATCAACAAATCCGGCGAGGGATAAATTCAGGCCTGCTCTGCCTACCTCGTATTCGGCGGCGATGGTCTTGACCTCGTCCTGCGTATGCGACACGTCCATCAGATCCATGAATCGTACGTAGCGCAAGCTGTGGCACGTGTAGCATATGGTTCTGAAGACCTGCCAACCCCGCCGTACGGCCGAGTGATCCAGAGACGTGAGATAACCGTCGAGGTCCCAGGGATAACTGGGCAGGACCGCGACGCGGCCCATTGCTTGAACCGATCGGTCCAGGAAATACAAGCATGCACCGCAAGTAGCACTCGCGCCCACCAATACGCTTAGAAAATTCCTCAAAACTCTTTTTCCACACCTCCACTCAACGCCGTTGCACCACGTGTAGATTTCACTGAATTGCTGGCGTTGAAAGCAACATTTCACTGGGAATGAAAGATAGCTTTTACTCAAAAGCATAGCCATTTTTCTCTAACACAAGACAATCTCGGGGAAACAATTGATAGTACAACTCGTTTTGCGAGTATACTGAGTACCGTAGGACATTTTATGTGTATAAAATGAAAATGTCTCGTAACGTTGAATTTTCATCGCTAAATTGCTAATTGCAAATCTTTTTCCGCTCTAATAAGCTCCATGTAATATAAGGATCAAATCAAAATGGACGGGACAGAACGCGCGGAAAGAAACGACGGAAAGACCGGAATCAGACTACGCATCGAAGATTGAGATTGAAGACTGAAAGATTGAATTTTGGCTAATCAGAATAATAGGAGTTAAAATTTCTTTATCCCCATTGGTTTCACAAATTTCAATTTTTAATCTTCAATCTCAATTTTCGATGCGTAGTCTGATTCTGGACAAACGCGGAGAACTCTCTCTTTCTCTTCCGCGTTTTCATATTTCCGCGCTTCACGTATGGCACCCTGAGTCGCCGGCGCGTTCTCTCTGACCTTTATATACTGAATTTTATTGACAGATGGTAAAAAAGTAAAAAATTAAGATCTTACATACGTAGTATATATAAAGTCACACGAAAATTATAACAGAAGCATTCAATATCCAGCTTGATCGTAAATGGCTTATTCTCATCGGTATACAAAAAATTAAGCTTCATTTTAGACATTAGAGTTATCGACAGTTCCAGCTATAAATACTCGCCGCTAGATGGACAGAACTTTTCGATTGACCTAATAAATATTAAGATAATCATTGAACGGAATTCACGATGGACTGATGCTTTTTAAAAATGCGACAAATTCTCGACAAAAACCAAAGAATTCGGTAAAATATATTTTTATACTTTTTGGATTTCTATAAACTTCTGAATAGATACGTATTTCGATCCATTATAAATGAAAAAAAAAACTGAAAATTATGTAACATCAATTTAGAGCGATTATATATTTCTTATTAATTATTATGATATGTACGTTAGATGATTTTCTAAGAGATCATAAATTGTTATTATTGAAGAAGTCGAAAAAACGTCTGAAATTTATATTATTGTATACTCATATATAAATAAAATAAAAATTTACAAGATAACTAAAATTATTCGTATTTTTAAAAAGCTTGATATCAATAATGGTATATTTTGCGTTGCAATCACACGAGCTTTTATATATAAAACGATTAATTACTGAAAAATTTTGGTCAAATTAAATTATTGAAATCTCGAATTAATTATATTTATCCAAGGATAAATTGAATAATAGATTAAGTTTAATAAACTAATAAGAATAATACGAATGTATTATCAAATAAAATTAAACATTAACGACTTTTATTCGTTTAATCGCGTTTCTGTACTCACTTAACACTCATCGTACAGAAACAAAGAGAGGAAAGTCTGCTCAATAGTTCGGATATAAAATACAACGATGACTTCTCCGCTTGGTAAATTTTTATGATACGTTTCTTCGGCATTGTCTCGTACAGAGAAACGATATAAATAACCTTATCATGAGTGCATACCGCAGCCGATAACGATGGATAATTTTACTATCCATCGACGGACGCGCGATGATTTCTCGCGGAATGACCGTCAATAGCTCGCTTTTCTAGAGCGGCCATGTTCATTAAGAATAATTTCGCCACAAATAAAAATATGTAAGTAAACAAGCTTGATACAACTAACTGATAAAGATGTTGCAGGATAATTGAAAGAGGAAGAAAAAGAAAGATACTTAAGATATGAAAAAAATCAGTTATGCAAGATGCAACATATAGAAAAAAATATTCAAATAAATGAAGAGAAGTATGCGCATTTGTTTATATTGTTCACTCAAAAATAAAATAAGAAACACTTTTCGATTTGCATTCGTAGAAACTAAACACTATCTATTTTTCCAAAATTTTTCTCGTTTTCGATAAAGTAAAAATTATGTAAATCAAGTAATATTGTTAAGATTTCGCCTGCTATTTATAGAAACATTATTTGCAATCTTCAGATTTTGATAGCGATATATCTTGTTATTTTGAACAGATTTCATAAATAAACCTTTTTAATTATAGATGAGTAGTAGTTAAACTATGTCACAAACAAAGATTACCAAAATAATAAATAGTTTTACAAATTATATAAGTAATTTTTTCATTTTTACAAAATCCCCTTATAGTTTTTGTCAACTTTTCAATTATTGCGAAGACAATCAAGACAATTTTTGAATTTGAGATAAAACGCCTTCCCAAGGAAAAAGAATTCCAATAATCGTCTGTAAGGAAATAATTAATCGCGTCTGCAAACCATGGGTTGCGCGCGTCGGACATGAATAGCCCAGATTACGCGGTGAAGATGATTGAGACGAAGAGAAGGAACGCTGCAAGATATCATCTTTGGTCGCACGGTATCGATCGGCCAATCCTATCTTATATATTATTAGACGAATAACGGCACATGGATCATTATTATTATGCGAAATATATTTGTAGCTAAAGACAACGACGACAACGAGAACGACGAAATCAGTTCTATTCCAGTCCTGAAAATTATGGCATCCGTCAGCCAGCTTGAAACTACAAGAGGCGCTCTTCTAAAGTGAGACAAAGAAGTGTTATTGTTGAAGAAAGACAGAAACATTGGCGAAGAATGAAGAGGCAACGAAATTGGATCGGCAAATTAACTGTTAAACTCTCGGGACAGTGAATGAATTTAAATCTCGCTAAAGCTTGCAAAATCACTTGTAACTACATATCGCCTCGGGATGTGGTTAATAATAATGAACCGCTCTTACCGAAGTGCCACAATACTTTCGTAGGGTTTCTCTCTCTCTTTCTCTTTTCTCTCGATCGTACAGAGACATTTTTAATGCGCGTGCGTCTAGCGAAATTATTGGCCGCGCTAAATCAATTAATCGGCACTACATTAGTTGATGATTACATTTTTGCATTTTTTGTCCCTCTTTTTCTTTCTTTTTTTTTGATGCTATTCAATAATTTCCTTCCTTATTCGCCAAATGTGCAAAAATGTCCTGCGAAAAAATAAATAGAAAACGCGATCATGTATAAATTATTCAACAGTAGTGTATTGACCGCCGTGCTGCAAGACCATAGCTATATTACCTATCTATATCCAGTGAATAAATAATGCAGACGGCACGATAGTTCCAAACGTGCCTTTCTTTCCCCTTCAGTATGTTTTAATCTTAAAAATAAACGCAGGAATGGTTGCGGCAAAGATTCGGTCGACATCGATTTTCAATCAACCGCAGCAATCTTCGCCGAGCTGTTCTTGGAAAGAAACGGAGTGGATTAATTATATATCGGGCTACCTAATTTCAGCTCGATGGTTATTCGTCGTCGCTGAGTGATCGCGCGATGATAAATTAGATAAAAATTGAGTCGGATAAAACCGCTACGATAAATTTAATCTCTTCATGATCTAATATCGTTTCATTATAACGCGCCGTACATTCACAGATTGTTTTAAATTCTTGCTGAAAATTCTTTTATCATAAACATATATTCGTATAGACAACATAACGTAATTAAAATCTTTAATTTCAATACAACGTATTTATTATTTAATTAAAAAAAATTTTTCTCATTATATAGATATATTAACTACCAAAAGACATTAAAAATGTAAAAAAAGGCGTCAAGTATATTTTACAACAAAAAAAAAACCAAAGTTAATGCCACAAAAAAGAAGTAAAATCAAAATAATATTTCAAATATTTTTATCAAAAAAGTTTTACAGATACAGAATATACCTCCAAGCGGCATCTTGAAGACGTTCTTATAATGTAGACAACCTTTGGACATCCTTTAGGACTGTGTTGTATGGAATTGTTACGTCCAGTGGACTCCATGATTACTTTGTTCTGTAAAAAATAATCAATAAACCTAACAAATTCGACCGATAATAAGCATTTGAAAAGCTTATCACCAGAACAAAATAGAATAATTGAAGGGCTAAGAGCCCAGTTACGTAATAAAGAACGTTTAATTTA